GCGTTTCTGTGTTGTTGTGTTGGCCCCAAACCACAACAGTAATGGCGAGCCAGGCAGGAGAGGCAGGAACCACAACACCTCTGCCTGGTACAAACCAGCCACTGGGACACTTGAAGACCAACAGCAGTAGTACTGTTGCTTGTCTTCTTGGTTGGGATTCCAGGTCCCAAAGGTGTATCTGTGGTGCAAAGGGATTTGCATCCTTCTTCTAGAGTAAGAACACCATTGCTGGATTCATTCCTCGGAGAAAGGGCTCCTGCCTGCTGCTGGCCTCCTGCCCACAGCTGGAAGCCAGTCCTTGCACCCACACGTGCTACTGCCCTGCAAATGCAGCCTGTCCTTCCTCTGGCTGAAAGGGAACTGGGCTGTGCCCCCCAGTCTGGTCCTGCCTCAGCACTGCAGGCCCACTGCCTCAAGCAGGGTCATGCCAAACAGGGACCTGGGAAGCAGCTGCTGTGACCCCAGGCTGGGACAGCCACCCTGCAGGGACCTGGCCTGTCCCCAGGCTATGCAGTAGCTGGGCTAGCCTGAAAGCTGCATATTCAGCTGTTTTAACATGCACAAGCCTCTCGGGGGTTAATATGTGCATGAGCATACTGTGCGCACAGCTTGCTGTCCCCAGAGCAGTGGTCACAGAGGTGTCAGAGCCACCTGCACACCCATCCCCAGCCTGGCAGCCCTTGCCCTGTGTGGCACCTGCTGGACCCTGGCAGGTGAGCACTGGGCAGGGCTGCCAGGAGGGGCATGGGATGGAAAGGCATTTCTCCCCAGACCCTTTTTCTGTGGGCCTTTCCTCTGGACACACACATTCCCGCTTGTGCCCCACACTTCCTTCCCCAGATGTCTGTCCTTCTGCTGCCCTCAAGCTCAGTGCTGCCTGCAGCCCTGGCAAGAGAAGGGTCAACCCTAGCAGAGCCACACTGACATTTCCCCACTTCCTCAGCTTCCAGTGCCTTGAAAAGCTGCCATAGTCATGTGGTACCTTCTTTGTTCTCTGTCAGATGCCACGCAGTTGTGGTGAGGTGATAGTCACACTCCCCTGCCAGGCCTGAAACTGGCTGCTACCGGCTCTGTTCCATGACATACACTCTGCTTTCCCCTTAGTCTTGCTGGCTGGCATGGCTTGCAGGTCTGCCTTTAGAAACTAGGTGCTGGGTGGCACCAGTGCTGGGGCTGGTGACTGCTCTGCCTTGTGTCTGTGGAGGGCAGAGGTACGTGGGGCTGGCCCTGGCAGGCAGCCTGCCACCAGAAGGTTGCAAAGGGACCCTAGCTGATGCAATGATAAGGCCAGGGACCAGCACCTTTGGCTGATGAATGGTTGCTGCACTTGGGTTCAGGGAAGTGCCCAAGAGGGGTCATGCACACAGCATGACAGTCTTACCTGCTCCCACCTCATCAGAAGGTGCTCACAAGGCACAGCACAGGTACAAACCCCATCCCTCTCTCCATCACCACCCATACCCCACAGCACCCACCTTTCTGCTCCTGTGTCCCAGCTGAAGGGTGCCAAGGGGTGCTGAGCTCCCCATGTCAGGGGCTGGCTGAGCTGCTCTCCCCAGACCAGGGTCAGCCCCAGGACACAGCCTCTACTGGTGGCTCCTCTCCCTGCCCTGCCTGGCCCTGTCACACTCATGGCCCCATGTCACCATCAGGATCCCACAGCTGATCCTCCAGCCCCAGCAGCAGCACTGGCAGCCACTGCCCCATACACACTGCTGTGTGTCTTCCAGCCTCACGTGTTTCAAAGTCTCCATTCTCCACGCCCAGTTACTGACCAGGACAGGCTATCTGATAACCACCAACCAACCACACCCTGCTGGAGTTTAGCCAGATGACCCTGAAGAAGGCTTCAGCAGCTGTAACCCCTGCAGCAGCAACACCAAATCCAGCCTCTGACACCCTACCCACACCACGATGCCTCCCCTGCATCCAAGGCTGCCTGGCAACAGGAATCCAGTGAGCTGCTCCATGTCTGTGCTGGCAGCACAGGGCAGCTGGAAATCCCCTCTCCTACCCCTGGGAATGACTGAGTATCTCGTGGGGCTGTTTGCCAGCACATGGTCCCCTTCCCCATTTGGGCCAGCCCATGCACATAGGGAGAGTGGCCTGACTTCCTGACAGCCCTGATTGTCAGCCCCTCTAAGAGATTAATTAAAGCAACTCATGTGTAAGCCCCAGCTGCTCCACTCTTCTCCAAGCCAGGACAGGGGATTAAACTGCTTCATTTCTGAATTTTTTCCAACTGTTTTGACTCACTCCATCACTGCAGACAGTTTGATCACATGGTTGTAAAAAAGCCTCCTGTCTGGTGTTCTTGCAGCAAAGGCTGGAGCATCAGGCAGAGCTTTTCCCTTTTTCTGGGAGATAAGGAGATGTAAAGGGAAGGATGGGCT